ATTAATAAAATATATTGTCTGGTAAAAAATATATTTGTACCAGTCATCTGTTTTCGAAAGAAAATTTCATCACCTTAGTTTAACCACACTGTCCACAAATACTAGTTTACCACTAAACATGTCAACTATCCAAGCCCGAATTACCGGTAAGCTGAATGCCGTGAAGAACCAGAAATCTAAAACCAATCTGCCTTTACTCAGAGACCATCCAAATGCCGGACTAGGGCCGTGGACTATCGCACACCTCATGGGGTAAACAGACGACTACATAGCAATTGTTGAAGGATGATTGGCGGGGGGTGATCGAGGAACTCGTGAAAACCCTTGCTCCTGTGCCAATTCGTCCACCACGAACCTCACTGGAATCGGGCACCCGCTGTGAAGAACAAGCCTCAGCTTCATCATGGCAGTAAGCCGGAAAACAGAAGCGACAAACATTAAGGTGAACTACATTTCCAGAATTTTAGTTGTGGACTAAACAGGCATACACGGCGGAAATTGAAAGTAATTTTAGTTTACAGGCCAGAGAAAACTACGAAAAAGTGCATGGTCCAGTGGCGAACTATTGTGAACACAGCAATGAACCTTCGGTTTCGATGCAAAGTACACAACATTTGTCCTACTAAGCGACTGTTGGCCTCTCAAGGCCTCTGCTTCACAAAGTAAGAAAACACTGAAATGCAATTTAGAAGGTTAAGAGGGCCATGTATTTTCAATCTTCCTGTTTACTCTTTTCTAAACAAACAATAAAGAGGGCCATGTATTTTCCATCTTCCTTTTCAGTTCCTGTTTACTCTTTTCTAAACAAACAGAGCGACTAACTTAACGAGAATATTATGTTGAGGTGTACACGAGCCTTTGAACTTTACCGCTGACAGGCTTAGCTTTATGATGAATGACGAAAAAGTGGAAGACAAATGTTTGTCTAAATAAGAGAAGAGTCTACTACTACAGCAATAAAGCCGGTGCCATGCTCAGCCTCTTTTGAAGATGGCTGTTTTCTGGGATGTTACGCCGTGCAGTCTGGTACATACTGACCTATGTTTCGGGGAATCTTACTGCACTCATGATGGAGGTATTAAGCTACTCTGAAACGTCGGTCAATGTCTACAAGACTCCACATTGCAACATTCCAGAAATCAGACACCTCATACTAGTCGCGAGAACCTGAAATGATATATTTTGCTTCATGATACCTCTGTCATCGCTCTGCTAATTTAAACACATCTATTTTCGTTTGCAGTTCCTGTACGTTCAGTAAATTTCCATGCAACCTGTCCGTTTTCCTTTTTGTTTCATCTCCGAAATTACTCCACGGATTCTGGGACTATATTTTGTATTGAATACTTTAAGTCAGCCCGCGACCACTTGTAATCCGACCCGCGAAAGTATTTGTTAATTTGTTACCAATTAGTACAAACCCATTTTTTTCGAAATTGATATTCCGTCACTGGTAAAAGAACATTCATCTCAGAGCTCTCACTAAAGCCATTGACTTTAAAAGCATAAGATGTACGTTCTACCGGAACAAATTTGTATTGTATCAGATACAAGCTGTTTCACTAGCGGAGTTCAAATAATCTGTGTAAGTTTTCCAGGTAAAAATTGCGAGAGATACAATCTGTTGCAAGAGCAAATTTAAAATAATATACAACTCTGTAATAGTTTGTGCGCAATTACATAAAATTTATATTTCAGCATATGCAATGGTAATTTGTCATTTTTGAATAAGTATTATTAAAGATAACGAAAATGCAAAAATATTGACAGTAGGGGTTTCTTGGCCCTTGGGTCCAACAGGAATACTATTCTGGCCCGAGCGAGGAAAAAAGGTGGACCACCCTGATCTAAGTAGAGACTATAGGGTGAACTCAATTCTAGTCCGTATCTGCGCTATGTACGTGTTTTAATAAGAACGTTGAATGTTATTTTAGAATAGTGCGGCCCCTTCAGTAACAAAAAAACTGCCGCGTTCAGACCACGTCAGAAACACGTCAGTCCCCCCCTCCATGGTGATACCAAAATTAAATGGCTTCAAGGTGGCTTTCAGAAGAAGATAGTTTTTATCAGGGTTCTTTCATAATTTAAAAATAAATAAGTATTCCTTTTGGAGTACAAGATAAAATGTTGCCACAGTAATAACAGTGCTGTGAAAAAGGTCGAGTTAACTAAACCTCTGTAATTGGTATGGTAACACGAACAGTGATCTTCCAGACACATTTCATGTGGGTATTTTAACAATTCAGTATCTTCTTATACAAGTCTAGGCTAAAGAATATAATCCAACTACAGATGATAACTGCACAGTTGGAACAGCAAAGCTACATTAACATTCAATCTACTTTTTTTACATCCATCTCCTACAATCCTTTTGTGCTGAATGACAATGAATGGAAATGCATCTGAAAAAGTAACAAGAAAATTTAATTTATCGAGTGTAGTATACACGGACGTTTGGGTCCTAGATGTTCATAAGAACGTATTTAGTAACTCTTGCACACGATTTCAAAGCTAATACAAGTTACATGGGAGAAGAGTCTATTTTAAGATAACGGCCCTATAATTTAGTGCAGTACACGGAGGTTTTGTGCGTTGGTTTCCATTCGAAGTGTCTTTAAAATACGCTAAAGAGACGCTGAGGTATTGGACAACGAGAACAGGAGCAAGCATTTGCTTTGCCTCCCACCATCTGTCTGCCCCTAGATCCTTTCTAGAGATACAAATGCAAAATACGTAGCCTTCATCCACTGTAACCTGTCATCAGATAAAATAGTACTTATCTTGACCCCCGACTCCAGAGTTAACGCGACCAGAACGGAATCTGCATGGGAATTAACTCACAGGAATAGGGGAGGGGTTCGTGATGAATAGGATGATAATATGTACAACAAACGCACTGTCCCAGGTGGGATTAAATTCCACGACCGAGAGAGCCCGACTCGAAAACACCAGAACACAAAAACGTCCATCGCTGTACCCTAAGAGCGTCTTACACATCACAATTTATGTTGCTCTGCTAACGTCTTCAGGTTGTCGTAAAACAGACGGATATTTTTCCTTTTTTATGCTTAATGTTAGAGGTGAGGATGGGATCGAACCGGGATCTTCTCAGTCAATACGACAACTACTAGGCCATCAGATGTCCCAGACGTAATTACAGTCACCTGAAGGCGCGAGTAAAGTTAACTCCCGAAACGTCGTGTATGTCCAAAAAATTGGCAATGCCCAACATAATATTGGTTACATTGAATGAACCGCCGTCACAAACCACAACAGAATCATTCTTTATCGCTGCCTTTCCAAGAATTCGTCGCATGGGATCCAAAAATACGAATAATTAAACACCGAAAGTCACACAATGTTAAAGTTCTCCAAACTAAATTCAGTGCTGATGTTCTGACACCTGCATTTAACATTCTTTGATTTAGCAGTAACAATTCCATGAAACAAAGTCACCCTTGAGAACCTAACAGTCGATCAGCAAGTAAAGAAATTCTCCGCTTTTTATGATACCCAAAGATTCGCTAAGTCGTCAGAAAATCCCGCCAATGAACCCCTAGACTCATCCAGATTAATCAAATTCACATCGCCACAAAGTACTTACTTACTATCTATTTTAATATTATCCTCCCATCTATACGTTCGCTCTAAAGGATGAAAAACTTTTCTGTCACGCAGCCTCGGGCTCCTGATCCCGGGTGCTAATCTAAAGGCATTGAAATTTCTGAAGTCTGCAGACAATTCTGATTAGTGCACGCCAGCTTCGGCGTGGAAACCACGACCTACCGTACGGAGCTTGGACAACATAACACAGGCAGGTATATTACCACAATCAGAACCACCTTTTCTATAGTTGTATTACATTCGAATAACGTGTGACAGGACTGATTATTGCATCACGCCAAGTTTCAACAAGTTCAATCGATATACACGGCGAAAAAGATGATTGGAATTCCTAACCATTGTAATTACGTTGGTCTAATCAATTCATTTATATCTTTTCTGTCTTATCGTTTCCTCCCATTCGCTCTTTGTATCTGACAGAAATCAATACTGATATAAAAAACAACAACACTGCAATTACACCAGAGGAAAAAATTCTTGTAAGATAATTATCTCGAAACTTTCAGGGAGATGAAGAAAGATGAGTGATCTTCTGTAATCTCCATAAATTATCCGTACTGGTGGCCTAAATGCGCGTGGAAGTATGAATTATTTAACATATCCAAACAAACTGTTGAATCGCCACTTATTATTCAATGAAACCTACTTTTAGTGAGAATGTTTCTGTCTTATTGTTCTTTGCAACATGTTCGATTCTTTCACACGATATGGGGATTAATCATCTTAAACAGACGTTTAAAAGAACTCGTTCTTTTTCATGTTTTTTTTATATTACCGCAGACACCAGATATAATTTACCCGTCATGCATTACAGTGGATGGAAATAACATTTAATATCGTAACTACGTGAACTTTGTACCTTAGCTACATATTGTAAATAATTAAAGCGTAATGTATGGATGGATCTCGTAATTAATACTTGGTGCCCAAATTACGCCTTTATAAGCCATTAACTACACTACATCCTCATTCAAATTAATATTTCCTTTTTACCTCATACACTGTATTAATAACATAGGCTACTATTTACTGGTCTGTCCTATATTAGTAAAAATTCCATATGACTCATACAGAAAAATGTTTCTTGATCGGATCCCATATTGGACAAAAAACCGCCCGCCAGAACATTTCTCTGGCCCCTGGAATATAGACTGAAATCCAATGTCAGATTAATCTAATAAATGGAAGAGCTTCAAATGGATACTTAAAATCCATAACAACAGTTACTACAGTTTCCTTGAAAACACGTTTATTGA